CGATATCATTTTTCCAATTTTATGACATTCTTTTGTTTTTAAAATAATGTTCTTCCCACAATATCTTAGTTCAAAGAAAGATATCTTCATAGAATTAAAAATATAAAAGAAAATAAGGTTCAAAGTATTTCAGCATGCATTACCTCATGCTAAGCTTATATATAAGAGATAACCAACAAGGTACAGGGTATTTATTTACTTATTAAAAAGTCCCATATACCCTGCACATTGCAAAATTCTCACCATCAACAGTGACAAACACCAAATAAAGCACATTATTACGCACTGAACTTTCTTCATGTTTGTTTACAGTCATTTCAATAAAGATAAGAATATCCATCAGGAGTCCAACTTTTTAACAGAAATGCAGCCTTAAATAATGATTTTCTTAACACAGTCAGCAGTCAGTTCAACCACAAGTGCCTCCCTGCCTCATTTCTGAAAACTCTGTTACAACATCAAGAAAAGTATAATTCAGCTTTTTAGCACTTTTTAAAGAAAGCTTAAGTTATAGTAGATTGTCTACCTGGCAGTAAATACAACAGAGTAGGGACACCCCATTCCAGGTGGACAAGCCACACTAAATATTTATTATTTGCACTGCTGCAGCATATAAAGGCCTCAAGCACAATCGTAAAATATTTACAGCTTCTAATAATGGAAAAGAATAATAAATCAGCAAGGTTAGTATAAAGTGTCTGATTTAGTCCTTATTGCAGGCTGCAAATCAACCTGACGCATGCATCCTGCAAAACCCGGCAATGCAAACAGCTAGGCAATCATGGAGAAATACAAAGCGCTCAGTGGCCAGGAAAGTTCTAGTTATTCTCAATGAACAGGATCTGGATCGGTTTCTTGTGGCCTCTCAACCTAAGCCATTCTGCTTATTTTAGAAAGGGCAGCCCCTCAGAGGTCAAGTTTTCACCATGTCACTAAACCAACTAAACAGATTCCAGCAACCCAGACAGGTCAGAAGGAGAAGAAGGATCATGAAATCCAATCAGCAACCCATATACAAGTTGTTCTCAGTTACACGCTTTCTTTTCAGGTTTTTTTCCTCTCTCTCTCGGTGTTTTCAAGTCTCTTATTTTACAGCTATATTTGAAGTTTCTTTGTACTTTAATTATTAAGTAATCTAACCGCCTTTTGCCAAATTGCCTGACCTTCTCATCTAAATGGTTTACCAAGTCACAGGGCAAGTCATCCTAAAATAATGACCTGAGAGATTAAGCTTCTACCTTCTAAACTGCTATGCATAAACATATTGCCCCTGCACAAACAGGCTGACCACCCTTCTACTAACAGTTTAAAGATTATGTTTATAAACAACGACCCATCAAAAAGACATACCGTTCCTCCTCCCTCTCCCAGAGCACACACCCGATTTCACCCACAATGCCTTCACAGTTTTCACAAGTATTGCGCTGGGTTTTGGTGGTTTGGGTTTTTTTAAGTAAAAAGAGCGTGACGTCCCGGACACCGCCATACACTACTAGCTTCTCACCTGCTCCAAAGCAACCTCTACAAAACCCAGCTCTGAGGTCAAAGACCATATAGGTCCCTTGGTGTCCCCAGCACGGACACCGAGGCCTACGGACGACGACACACGAAACGCCAGGCGATCACCGGGGGTGGGGGAAGGGGCTCCCCCAGCCCACCGCTCAGCCACCGAGGCCCGCTCGGCCCTCTC